ATAAACCACACAGTGAAGACAATCTTCCAGGCAGTAAAGGGTAATAAAAAGTATTTATTCGAATAAAGGAACTCCCCTACAGCTTAATTCAGCCTGGGAAGTTCAACAAGTGGATACAAAGCACAGACTTATATACTCTTCTTGCTCCTCCTTATTTTACATCATCACTGACATCACTTAGGCATGCTCAGTTCAGTTCCTTTTGATCAGTCAGCCATCAATCCCATCTTTGGCTCACAAAATGGTAGCTGGCAGAGTTTCTTACTCCTACAACACAGGTGCAGGTCATTAGTCCTAATTTATTGCTTTGTTTATTCCTTTCCCAGACTTCTGTTCTTTGGCTGAACTTCTCAGGTTGAAGTCATAAACTCTGTCGGTTCAGTTCATCACATTTGATTTTATACAGACATTTATACTTGCATCTTGCATATAAGCATTTCTTAAAGCATTTTCTAAACTCATTTTAACTAACAAGTATACAAAACAAGAAAATATATCTTTACAATATCATTCTAAAACATTAAACCTTTTATATGACTTCTTTACATATTTTAAAATAGCGTGTATCATTAAACTCTCATAGACATCTTCAACTCCCTTTTTAGATTTCATTTTGGTCCTCTGGAATATTTTATACAATTATTTTAAAGAATATTTAGCACATTTAAACTGAATATTTCATCAAAAAGTGTAATTCCATTTTAACCCAAAAGGAGACACTGTTTCACCATACGAATTTTGTGCGTATAATTAGTTTTTGTAATTGGAGCCAAAAGTCATAATTTAAGGCTTCACCCTGTATCTCCTAATTGTTTTAATGACATCATCTGCCATACTCCCTTTAAACTTAAAAACACAGTATAGTGTAAATCACCTTTGTTTTTGTCTTCTTGGAAACGTTTTCAACTTAGTTTCTCTAATTGACCAGTTCACATCTCATGCTGGCCAGAGTCCATCACACAAGGCATAATGGTTTCTCTTTCCCAGTAAACAGTCTCTTAACAGAACTGAACTTTCTATAGCAAAGCTTTTTCAATTACCTTTAAATATATATCCTTTTATAGCACATAGAAAATATTTACCTTTTTAATACATATCTCATACATTAACTTTGCCTTAAGCATATGCTCTTGGAAACCAAACAATTATATTATCTTTATTAGGCTTAAACATTTCCCTGGAGCAATTGGCTATGTTTGCATGGCAGTGACTGCAAGCCTTCTAATAAGCAAAGCTTTGTTGTATACTTCTCAAAGTATAACATCTACAGTACATATATACCTTTCATTTAAACATCAAGAATCGCTTTCACACAGAGCAACAGAGCTGCTTCAAACTTTCCACCTTAGCCTGACTCTGGTCATCCTGACCTGACTTGGTACAAACAAGCAGGACACCTGTATTTTAAAAGGCTTCACATAGCTATAAATCCAGAACTTTCAGACAAGTTTTTAAAGTTGGCAGAACATCACAACATACTCCTTTTTCTCTCGTTAAACCAAGTGGTGAAAACATGCCAATTAAAAATAAGTAATGGTTACAGTACTTTCAGGACTCTAAAGCCGGGTGTTAATTTCTCCAGGAGAGATCCAGAGCATTTTATTCCAAAGATTTCCTTTAAAGCAGGCAATAATCAATAAATCATTTGGGCACCTCTAGCGACCTCTACATTACTATACATTTTCAATCAGTATTTATTGTAATTCAACATTGTAAAGGTTTTATTTCGATGAAGAGAAGAAGAGATTGGATTTATACCCCACCCTTCACTACCCAAAGGTGTCTCAGAGCGGCTTACAAACTCCTTTCCCTTCCCCTCCCCACAACAGACACCCTGTGAGATAGGTGGGGCTGAGAGAGCTCTTGACAGAAACTGCTCTTTTTCAAGAACAGCTTTTATCAGAACTACAGTTTACCCAAGGTCATCCAGCCAGGTGCAGGTGGAGGAGTGGGGAATCAAACCCGGTTCTCCCAGATTAGAGTCTGCACACTTAACCACTACACCAAACTGGCTCGATACTCTGTGTGTTTGTGTGTGTGTGTAGACGGGGGGGGGGAGATTAGTAACCTGCTCAGTGCACAACTTCACAGGGTTAACAATAGAAGGTGGGCATTTTCCCTTCTTTTTTAAAAATGATTTTCATTATGGCTGAGCCAGAAAGAGGGAATGCTTTTTGCAACAGCTTTCTCAACCTGTGTGCACACACACAGAGCGATTTTTGGGGGGTGGGCTCAAAAGAGGATGAAGGTATTTTAGGTGCAGTTCCTTGCCCCCCACATGTTCAGGTTCTATTTCCCTTTGGCATTCTCACACAGCACGTTCAAAAGTATTTTTATAGGATTAGGTGTGAGTAACTGCTTAAGTTGGTGGTGCTCCAGCAATCTTTCTGCTGCGTTGTGGCTCAAGAACAAACAAAAAACATGGGGTTCCAGTGTCCATACCCACTTGGTATGGCTACCACCAATTAGAGAAAGCTTCAAGGTTCAGAGCAGGGTTTGGCTACTGAGAGTGGGAAAGACCATCAAGATAGAAATATTAGTGGTGGAAAGTCACAGCCAACTTATGGCAACCTCCTGGGGGTTTCAAGGCTACCACCAATTAGAGAAAGCTTCAAGGTTCAGAGCAGGGTTTGGCTACTGAGAGTGGGAAAGACCATCAAGATAGAAATATTAGTGGTGGAAAGTCACAGCCAACATATGGCAACCTCTTGGGGTTTTCAAGGCAAGAAACATACAGAGGTGGTTTGCTGTTACCTGCCTCCGCATAGCAATCTTGAACTTTCTTGGTGGTCCCCCATCCAAGTACTAGAGTGACTACATTCCCCTTGGTTTCCAGTTTTATTTGGGAAACTCATTGATCTCTTGCCTGCTGGGAGGGGCCAGCCCTGCCCTCAGTAGCAACAGAAATGGGTCTCAGGGAAAGGCTGAAGACCACAGATGTAAGGGTAGCCAAGACATTTCTGCTTCAAATGAAGCTGGTCAGAGCAGGAAAACGAGACCTTCCCTGTATTCTCTGCTGAATTGGCAGCCAAGAGCTACAACTGGAATGGGTTGTGGGGGCTGAACAAAATCAGGCTATGGGTCCCAATATTGTGTGAAACCTTCCGAGTTGTTTACCTCTGGACTAGGACATTAAAAAAATGTTGAGCAGTGCTGCTAGAAAACCTTCTGGTTCAGATTTTGGACAGCTTTACCAGGGAGAATGGGAAAATATATCCTTATTACAAGGCAGCCATTCAGAATGCTGCTCTGCATGTCCATCTTTATAATAATGTCCCCACGTCTTTGTATACTCATTGTAACTCCATGTCCCTTGAGCCTGCTGCTAAGGTGGGGGTTAGAGAAACAGCTTTATGTATCGAGTGCCAAGAACCTAAGGAAAATACTACATTCAACATAGGTAACATTCATACATCCGTTAGACCTGTACAGTTCTATTCACTTATCCTTTCTCCCTGTTTTCCAGAGGTGACAGTAACTTATATTTCTTACTATATGGCAGTTCTACTTAACTACAGTTAAACGCTGGCTGGGGGCAGCACATTACTGATATTGTTTTCTCAGATGAAGGGCTCAAAGCAGTAGACTTCAATCATTTTCTTCCCAGTACTCTGTTCCAGCTTAAACATAAGAACATAAGAGATGCCAATGTTGGATCAGGCCAAGGGCCCATCCAGTCCAATACTCTGTATCACACAGTGGCCAGAAATACCAGTGCCATCAGGAGGTTCACCAGTGGGGCCAGGACATTAGAAGCCCTCCCACTGTTGACCCCCCCCCCCAAGCACCAAGATGACAGAGCATCACTTGCCCCAGAGTCCCTATCTATACCTTGTGGCTAATAGCCACTGATGGACCTCTGCTCCATATGCTTATCTAATTCCCTTTTGAAGCCGTCCATGCTTGTAGCCGCCACCACTTCCTGTGGCAGTGAATTCCAAGTGTTAATCACTCTTTGGGTGAAGAAGTACTTCCTTTTATCCATTCTAACCCGACCGCTCAGCAATTTCATGGAGTGCCCACGAGCTTACTTTCACCCCTGCTTTGTCATACTATGTTGTTTGGCTACTAGAGGCATTTAATCTAGATTCTGAAGAATTGTAAATTATTTTAAAGAACCCCAATGTTAGAAAGTCCAAGCGAATTCTTTTGCCCTGCCCCCAGTGTGGGAGAAGCAGAGGAAATGTTGGGTGTTTAGACCCATGCAAACCCACAAGCTTAATGTTTCTGTTGTTTCTTCCAGCTGAATGTGGGGGCACTATCAAAGGCGAGTCTTCAGGACGGATCTTGTCTCCAGGCTACCCAACGCCATACGATCACAACCTCAACTGCGTTTGGACAATTGAGGCAGAAGCTGGATGCACGATAGGGTAATTGCATGGGACTCCAAGGCTGGAAATCAGGAAATGAGCATGTGCTGCAGCTGCTGCCACCCCCCACCCCCCAAATTTGGGATGTACACATATGCTTTTTTTGTTTCCAGATGTGAGCCTGTTTGCTTTGCCAGCATTCTGTGCTGGTGTTCCCAATTAATTTGTCTCTTTTATGCCACCATGTATGTGCAGTGGACACACACACACACATTAGGTGTCCCTTTCAGTGGTATTTTTATTATTTGAATGTTTATACAAATGACGAACTATTTAATATCATGATTACATATAACATACAATAGATGAAAACAAATTAATCCAAGAGCACAGATGGAATATTCTTAGATAAAGCTGCTATGTAGACCATAGAAAATTCCTTCATTGTATAAATCACCCAAGACTTAATTAACAAGTCCTATTTTTCTGGGAGAGTCTTGAGTATTCTAGTGTCTAGTGTCACACAAATACTGATGTAGTTGCTGTTACCCTACTCAGCACTCTTGTAGGTACCTTTACCATGTAGTTCAAAAGGAGTAACTCTGGATGCAAAGAGTTATCTATTTATTGCTCCAGAGGTTATATTGACCATCATTCCCCAAATGTATCGAGTGTGGAAGAAATCAGCCCTACGTTCATGGCAGAACCAACAAGAGTCTTAATTCTGGGGCCCAGAGGAGGGCCTTCCAGGCCATCACTCAGCATCCCTGTCAACCAGGCCAGCCCTTCCCTCCAATCCTCTTCTCAGGCCTCACTGGCCAGTTGCCAGGGCAACAGTCTGCCCTGCTTGACTCAGCAGCAGGGCCCCCTGTGCAACAGTGACCATGGTAGGAGCATAGACTGGGGCCATCAGTGGCGAGCAAGGGCCTTGGCAGTCTCAGAGCTGACCTTCCATCATCAGGTAACATCAGGCACCCAGCTCTCCAACAACATAATAATGGGGGTGAGGATTGATCACAGCAAGCAATTCAGTTCTTACAGAAACATTGGGCTGGAAGGAACCCCCAAGGGTCATCTAGTCCAGCCCCCTTCATAATGCAGGAAGTTCACAGCTACCCCACACATACACTCCCCCAGTGACCCCTGCTGTATGCCCAGAGGAAGGCAAAAAACCTCCAGGATCACACGCAGAATTAGCCGCGCCAAAGGCGCAAATGCTGAGTGGATTTTAAGGGTACAATCAGACGTAAACATCTGGGAAGCATCCCGCACCCGTCGGCAACCCATTTTGCTCCGCGGCAGAAGCGGAGTAAAAAACACTAGGGAAAGTCCAGTAGCAAACAGGTTTGCTACGGGCCAGGAATGGACTTTCCCCTGTGCGATCGCGCCAGCGTGCTCTCATGGCGTCGGGATGGTCTGATCAGGCCATCCCAACTCCATGCTGTTGTTTTTTCCCCCATTTCAGTATACGCATCATCGCACACTGCATAGGGAGCACTCAGTGCGGAGACGCGAATCATCGATCCCCCGTTGAAGTGCACCGGAAACACGCAGCAAAAAAAACCCCTGATTCACCCGCAGTTGCGTCTGATCATAGAGTGGCGGGCTGCCCCCACAGCTCCCAGGGACTGTGTGATCACGCAACTGTGGGTCAAATTTCTATGGAGCAAATAGCCTCACTTCCCCCCGTGTTATCTCGCACATGTGACCGCAACCAAAGTAGTTTTAATTTTTAAAAAATCTTTCTTCCTGAATATTGTGTATGAGGGGTTCTGAGAGGCTCAGGAAAAAGGTGGGCATATAAATGTTTTAAATAAATAAGTACATACCTGTATAGACAATAGGAGAGTCCATGGCTTCAGTGCTATCTATTCAGAAAAGATCAGAATCCTGGGTCGTATGGATCCTTGTTTCCAGGTAGGAAAAGGCCTTCTTTCTTTTTCACCTCTCTTGTGAGGCACACTTCCTTACCTCCCTTAATTTATTGAGATTGGTAGCTGCTTACAAAACCCCCACCAATGTTTTAGCTGAGTTGAATCCTCCAAATTGACCTGAAATTTTACTTTAGTGAAATGTGTTAAGTCCCTAAGGCAAGGCTACCTGGCAAGATCCTATTAATGATCTCTCATCCCCCCACAGTGTAGCAGCACAGGAACCAAGGGTGAAAGGCAAAACTTCATATCCAGAGGTCCCCAAGAAGCTCAGCTGGGGCACCAGAGGTCAGTCCATCCTTAGGCCTGATCCTGGTTGGGTGAGCCTGACCCTGTAGCAGGAAACTAGGCCACGAGTGGGTAGCATTCAGGGTCCCATCATGAGAAGGAGCAACTTCCTTTCCCCTCCTCTGAGAGAAAATTTTTGTACCACATCCTATGCAACTGGAAGTAAAAAGAACCTTGTTGAAACCTGGCAACCCTTGCCCCGCATATTGCATGGACTTGCCAACCTCCAGGTATGGCCGGGAGACCTTCCAGAGTTACAATTAATCTCCAAGCTACAGAGATCTTTTCCCCTGGATAAAATGGTTGCTTTTGAGGGTGGGCTCCATGACATCACATCCCTATTGAGGTTCCCCCCTTCCCAAACCCTGCCTTCCCTAGGCTCAGCCCCCAAATCCCCAGTAATTTCTCAACCCTACTGCACCTGACATCCACATTTCTTCAAACCCAAAGTGTTCAGTATGTAATAGGTAGAGGCTCCAGCCTGAGTCACGGACTGTTCTCCTGGAAGGTTTCCTGGCTTCTGAGCTAGGGCTGGCAGGCAGTGCCTGTTAACCAGTGGGAGTATTGTGGGTGGAGACATGGGGCCCCCCGCAATGCCAGCTGTGGCACTACATTACTTCTGGTAAAAACCCAGAAGTGACGTAAGGTAACTCTAGGAATCACCGGAAACTGTTTTTACTGGAAGTGATGTGGTGCCGCATGCAATGCTGTTTGTAGCCCTGCTTCTTTCTATTGGCAGGTTTCTTTCTCCTGATGCTGGCAAGCCCGCTTCAGAAGGAGCTCTGGAGCATTGGAAGTTCTTCCTCTGTCCCTCATTCATACTTTTTTGTGGACCTAGGATTTGAATCTGCATGAACAATTGTATGCACAGAACCAGTGGGTGGTAGCTATTCTAGATTATTCAATTTTAATTGCAAGGGTGGGATTTAGTATCTGCAATGTAAGAATAGGTCTCTGTTCTCGCTCAAACAAAAAGCAAGTCTGGTGGGTTGAGAGGATGGTGCAATAAAGGGAGAATGAATGGATCTGATAATAAAGTTGAAGATGATCATAGTTTGTTCTCCTAGAAATCCGTGTTTTTTTCTCACTGAGGTTTTTTGCAGTGTGCATTCCAGCAAAATCAACAGCCACCCCAAGATCTGAAATACCCACACCCAGGGAAAACCAACTTTCAGAGTCCATAGCAATGTGCCAGTCACCACTACGAATCCTATTTCAAAGGAAACCTTCAAGCACCCTCCCCCTGTTCCGTAGTACAGACAATGGCTCCTGTCACCCCCCCTCCCCAGTTTAATCCATCTTTTATTACACCTCCAGTACAAATTTTTACACTAATGCAAACGTATTGGGCTTCCTGAAAAAGCAGTCAATTAATAACCATGCAGTTGTCTGACATATATAATGCATTGCTATGGTACCCATTATCTTGGAGAGGGAATTAGAATATTAAAAGCTTCACACGGCTGCCACCACCTAACAAGGGAGAAAGAAAGGAGGAGAGTAACTCAATTCCACCTCAAGTGCTCAAAGGCCTTTTTAAAAAGGCTACTGCTTTCCTCTTGGTAGCCCCCGCCCTATATTTATTTATCGCTTGATCCAGAGGGGTCTTTTACAATTGAGTTTGTGTGCCCCATGGCAGTTATTCAGTCTTTTTCACAGCAAATACTTTCCGTAACTATAAAGCACAGTTTCAGTCATTAAGTGAAAAAAGAAAAGCAACAGTTCTGTGGTGTGAATCTCCCATACTGTTCAGCCTGCCATTAAAGATTCTTTTTCTGTGCCCTGCTGTCTGTGCCCCTGCCTACAGAAGTATGCTGTATGGCAACCGGAGACAGGGCTTTTTAAGTGGTGGCACCTCACCTTGGGAAAGCTCTCCTCCCTTCAGGCTCACATGGGGTCACCCTTTCTCTCATCTAGACCCCAAGCTTTTACTGGAGAGGTTCTATCTTTCTTAGCCCTTTTTATGGACTGCTTCTAACCTGAAGACTACTTCATGAATATCAGTTTAGGCTGTTGTTTTGTGCTGTTTTTAAGACTCGTGTCATGACTGATAATTCTTACATTGTTTTATGATTTTATGGTGTGTGTTTTTTAACTTTGTGAGCTCCCTGGAGCAGGTTTTTGAAGAAGCAGAGTATATATATATTTTCTAAATAAATATATTAGACACACTCTTTTAGCAGCCATTCCTTTTTGCCAGGAAATCTTAGGAACAATACTTTATTCATTTATTTACCTCATCTATACCCTGCCTTCTCCCACTCCCAGTTGAAACCAAAAGCAGCATACATTGCTCTGTCATCCTCCACTTTATCCTCACAGCAACCCTGTGAGGTAGGTTAGGCTGAATGTGTGTGGCTGGCCCAAGGACACCTATCAAGCTTCTGTGGCATAGTAAAGATTCAAACCTGGGCATGCACTAGAGGTGTATGAAACTACAACTTTCAGGATTCTCTGGCAGAAGCTATGGCAATGGGAATGCTTACAAAACGGATAAAAGCTTGGCGTTCAGATATACCCTCACTATATCTCTTCTCCCACCGTACAGGTTCCATTTCATGGTTTTCCACACAGAGGAATTCCATGATGTTTTGAGGATCTGGGATGGGCCAGTGGAGAAAGGGATCCTCCTAAAGGAAGCGAGCGGCTCCGTCTTGCCCAGTGATGTCCGCAGCACATTCAACTCTGTGGTCCTCCAGTTCAGCACCGACTTTTTCACCAGCAAACAGGGCTTTGCCATTCAGTTTTCAGGTAAGACTTTAAAAAATACTGTTAACTTGGCAGCACTACAAAAAAAAGAGAAGATAATGGGAGTGCAAAGTGCTTCTAGAACACCGCCCCTGCACATTTGAGCATTGTATTATTAACTCTGAACATTCAGAGCAGGGCCATCTTCAGCATGCCCTGAGGGGGCAGCTGCCAGGGCCCAGTGTGTCTGGTAGGGCCCACTGCTGCCAGCACCCCTGCCCACTCACTTACTAGTGCTCCATCACCCATATTCCCTGCTGCACACACTTCCCTGTGCCACTGGGGAAAAGGTCTGCCCGGTTGCTGTGAGCATGGGCAGTGGGAATGCTTGTGAGCAGACAAGGGAAGGACGCTCAAGCAGGTGGGAGGCATGCAGCTCGGTGGGAGGGGAAGAGAGCATGAGTGCCTGGAGGGGAGCCTGGGAACTTTCTGCCTGGGGCCTCCTCAAAACCTGGAACTGGCCCTGATTCAGAGATTTATCAATGTTAGCAGGCAAACTGTCTTTCATGGAGGTTGTTGATCTTCCCATTGAGGGAACCCTGATGAGCTGGGGGATAGGTAAAGGTAAAGGTTCCCTTGCTCGAAAGCCAGTCGAGTCCGACTCTAGGGTTGCGGTGCTCATCTCCGTTTCAAAGCCGAAGAGCCAGCGCTGTCCGAAGACGTTTCCGTGGTCATGTGGCCGGCATGACTAAACACCAAGGCGCACGGAACGCTGTTACCTTCCCACCAAAGTGGTACCTATTTATCTACTTGGAATTTCTTGCTTTCGAACTGCTAGGTTGGCAGGAGCTGGAACTAGAGATGGGAGCTCACTCTGTCATGCGGCAACTCGGGTCTCAAACTGCTGAACTACTGACCTTCCACAGCCTGCAGTTCAGCGTCTTAACCACTTGAGCCACCACAGCTCCTCATGCTGGGGGAGCAGGGGCCCTATTTTCTGAAAATAACCTTTGGAAATTTTACCCTCCCCCCTTAAAAACAACAACTGGATTCCTGCATTTCAGGTTTATGTGTTCCTAATTGTCTCTCCTCTTCCCCCCATTAAGAGGGATTTTATCCCTCCTTTTTTAAAAGACCTCGGCGCTGAAATGTACAAGAACGATCTACTTAACACCATGGGAGATTTCCCGAGGTTCCTGTGTTTCTTTCATGGAGAGGTCAGGCCCAGCCACTGCCTCAGAAAGCTAGAGGCAAAATTCCTCTCCGTCCCTCACCAGAAGAGAAATCTACTAACGGCTGAGTTTATTTTACAGCATATGTTTGATATAGGATTGTAACAAAATGCCATGTAAGATTAGCAGATGCTAGTCTTATTAAGTACAACCAACAAGATGGTACACAGTAGAATATGAAAACCACAAGAAAAATGACTGTGGCCCCGGTCACACGAGAGGTTTTGGGCCAGGAGAGGGACGGATCGGGGGCGCAGCAAACGGGCACGATCCCACAGCAGCACCTGGGAAGCGTGGTGCACCCGTTCCCGATCCGGCCCTTCCACCCAAAACCCCGCATCAAAAATAAACCATCTACCTAGGTGGTTCTTCGGGAAAGGGCGCATCAAGGCCGGCCGTGGGATCACCGGCGCGTCCTTCCGCCGGCGCATCTCCGGCTCCTGGCCGAACTGCGCATGCTCAGACATGCGCAGTTCGGCAGCCTCCCCCTCCCGACTATCGCTTCTTCCCCGGCATCTGATCGTGCCGGGGAGCAACAGCGCCGCGGCGTCTCTATTTTGGTGCGGCTTTTAAAAGCTACACTTTGCCCGTTTTTTTTCCTGCCATGTGGCAGGGACCTGTGTAACAAATCACTCCAGCCTGCATTTATATAAACTTTTAGTATCTGTTTATGCAATAAATGATAACAACATATCCTAGTGGTACAGTACCTACAGTACAACTCAAGCCAACTCTTATATTGTACTATATTCACTCAGAAATAAGCAATGCAATAAAGTATAGTATATTCAGTTCGTGCAAATTTCCTTAGAGAGAAAATAAGTTCTTACTAATAGTTCCACTACTAATATGGGTGTTGCTCCTGTGGTCTACTATCTCTTGTATTCTGTAAGTATTGTTAAGTTCATTAGTTGCTGTAGATTTTCCGGGATGTTAAGTTCCTTAGGTTCCTTAGGTTTTGCTCCAATAAATCTTGAAAGAATGACTTGAACCACGTTGAGTAGAAGCTGGAAAATGAATAATATCTTCCAACAGGTTTGCCAGCTAGTGATCTTTAACCCTGTTTCAGGAAGACACTTTATCAAGAAATAAATCTTGTTTTCCCAGTTCTATATAATCACAATGAAGGGAGTCAACAGACCTCTGCAGCATTTCTACATAAAACATTGTAAGCAGAAACACTAGTTACATTTTGCTTCAAATAACTTGTTACAATTTAAGCCATAGCATACTTAGAAAATAACATACCTTAACTTGATTTAGTAAGGAACCTGGATAGCTTTTCCCACCATTTCCAAGAGTGGAAAGTTTGCTGTTGCTGAATTGCAAGTATCACTTCCTAAACATCTCTCCTCTTAAACAGACACCAACAGGTGTATATAATTATATCATTATATCTGTTATAAGATGTAGCACATCCTGGCCATGTTGTTAACTTTTCTTTTGTCTGGCTGCTTCTCTAGTGTCCACTGCCACCTCCTGCAATGACCCTGGAGTTCCACAGAACGGGAGCCGTAGCGGAGACAGCAAAGAAGCAGGTGACTCCATCGTCTTCCAGTGTGACCCCGGATATGCTCTGCAAGGGGATGCCAAGATCAGCTGTGTGCAGATTGAGAACAGATTTTTCTGGCAACCTGACCCCCCCACCTGTATAGGTAAGAACCTCTGCTCAGTTCACTGAATGCCAGAAATGAGCATCAGGCCCTTCTAGAGGAGGACAGAAGAAGCTAAGACCCAGAGGGATGACACAGCCCCTGGACATCTTGGTATGGCTCTTGAACTGGCTTAGGAGGGCTCTGGATGAAAACTCTGCAGATAAAAGATGTGGGGGGAGGGATGCAATGCTGTCCTCCCTATTCACCAAGGCTCTTTCCACTTGGCCTTGTTGGTCAGGTTAAATACAAATACAAGTTGCAGTATCCTGCCTCATGGGATTTTGTGTTGCAGATAGGGGATAACAGATGGCTGTCTAAGCACAGTGCATCTTAAAAGAACGCATGGTTTCTACGACTGCATATTCGAGTGATTTTGTTATCTTGCCATTGGGGCTTTGGCCTGTGTGCTTCTGCTTCAGACAAATGGTCTAAGGAGGGGTATAATGAGGGGGTCACACTTTTGAAGACTTGTGCAGGACTTGGAGAGGTCACAGGGAAGACCCAGTGCATTGACTTCTGTCCCCCTTCCCCCCCCACACACACACCCTAGCCTTCATAAGATTCTGAACAGGAAAGTGTTTGATATTGTTCTTGAAGCTCAATAAAATCATTTCCAAGAGGGGTACCGAAAGGTGCCATTTTGTCCCTCATGCTGTTCAGCCCCAACATGAAATAGCTGCGATAGATTGACTAGGACTTCAGTCAGGTGCCACCACCATGGACAGGACACCTGGCTCTAATTCTGCTTAACATCTGAGTCAGATGAGTCTGCAGAGGTCCTGAAATGATTGGAGAATGTGATGGGATGGATGAGGGCCAATAAGCTGAAGCTCAGTCCAGACAAGGCTGAGGTACTGTTGATCAACAATAAAGCCACTCAAGGACCTGAGGAGTCATCTTGTCCTTGAGGGGGATGCGTTCCCCCTGATTGGGCAGGTTTGTGCTTCTGAAACCTGGTCTACTGTTGGAGGTTCAGATCTTCTCCTGGCACATAGCATCTTTTATGAGCTTCAGCTGATATTCCAGCAACAGCCATTTCTTGAAAAGTGTGACTTGGCTATGGTGATCCATGGTCTGATCACATCCAGGTTAGAGTACTGCAGTGTGTGCCACAGGGGGCAGCCTCTGAAAAGTGTCCAGAAATGTTGAATTGATCTATAATACAGCAGCCAGATTGCTGTCAGGAGTGGAGAGCAGAGGTTAGCTTCTTTAGTGACTTTTTAAGTATCAGGTGAAAACCGCATTTCACCCAGGGTTTCAGCTATAAATGTTTTCCATCTTCTTTGGTATTCTAATGATCCTACAATACTCAGATATTTTATACAGCCTGCCCACTATTGTGAATTATTTTTATGCAGCTGATTTTATTGATTACTATTTTTATCACAGAAATTGTTTAATGCTGAGATCTTGTTGAGTTTTCTGAAGCATTGTAAAATTGTTTGAATTAACGTTATTGTTAAAGTTTATGGGTTTTTTTGCTACCTCGACTAAGTTTTTGGACGGTCTGGACAGAAATATTTTAAATATGTAATAAGTAGAAGCACCAGTTACACATAGAGGCACACACACACAAGTGTATGTGTGTGTGCCCACAGCATATAAAAATTGTCATTTCAAGCACACCAAAGCAATAAATGTTAAATTAATGGGCTAATTAAATGTTAGTTGTCTGCGTCCTCTCCTTGTACTTCATTTGTATTTATAAAATGTTATCCCAAGCAAGGGAAATTAATTAATTTCTTTTCTTTCTAAAACTGATTTAAAGGTAAGTCAGGAAGGGTTTCTGCTTACCCCCCTCATTCTCATCCCTTTTTACTTCTTTCCTTTTAATGACAGTGTCAAGATTTATTATACCCTCAGAAACTATCAGAATGGAGGGAAGGGGAGGGGGAAGAGATGCAGCTTTTGATCTGTTTTGTTTTTGAGTGACTGGCAACAGTTTGTCATGTCACCATCACAGCCAAAGTTTATAGCTGTTCTGTTAGGGCAGAACCAGACATTAGCTTGGCAGAAATGTGTTCCAAATGATGCATTTGCAGGATAATGTGTGAGCAGAACACCTTTGCAAGAAAAGGGTGTGTTCTCCCCACCCCCAGCCACCCAAGCTTGCTGCTGGTTTTCAAGCCTTGTTGGGGGGGTGGGGGGCTAGATACTGGCAACCAGTTTGTTTGTTCTAAGGAGGCACACAGCATCTCTAGAAGATCATTTGAGTTTGGGCGAACATTGCAAGGGGAGGGATTTAAACCCCCTTCCCCCACAACTTGGCCTGCAGCTCAAGGGCAACGATCAGTTAAAAATACTTGGGAAATCTATTCACAGATTTCTCAGCCTCCCATCTATTTTGACCCTGGCTTAAGGCTAACACAGAAATCTTACACTTTGTTCCAACTATAGGCACATCCAGCCTCCATTTGCGGGGAGGGGGGGGATGCAAGGAAGAGATGGGGATTTAACCCTTCAGTCTTCACTTGATTTTTATATCCAGAACCTTGCTCCCTGCTTTGTAATTTGCATGGTAGTTCAAGGAGGCGTTTTTGAGGAACCCATCTCTTCTCCTTTATAGCCCCTTCTCCCTTCCTGGCACAGCCTTGAAGAAAAATGAGTCTACACCAGTCTACGCTTGACATTTTATGGCTGGAACAAGGTGTATGATTTTGGTTTCATCTGTTTTAAGTTCTCCTAAGTTCATCATATCCCTGAAATAGATCTCTTGGAGAAGTGACTGACAAGGGAGCATGAAAGGTCAGCCACATGGATTTCCTTCTCCGATTTTCCTTTTCTTTTAGCTCCTTGTGGGGGGATCCTGACAGGGCCATCAGGGGTGATCCTGTCACCAAATTACCCAGAGCCGTATCCCCCAGGAAAGGAGTGTGACTGGAAGCTGGCTGTGTCTCCCGATTATGTCATTGCTTTGGTATTCCACACGTAAGTGTTCCTGTTTCGTTTCTATTGAGATGTACTTGTAGGAAAGATTCATCATGATTCAGGAACATTAGTAGACTGTGATTCTCTCTGTAGAAGTCACCTTGATTTTCCTTCCATTGTTTCTGAGGGAAATTCCTATCTGTGTAAGAACCACATGCCAGAACTGGGCAAAATCCTAAGAATGCTTGAAAAATTCTCCATGTCCAAATGTCCCCCTAGAACTAGAGTTTCAGAATTACCTCGCCTTCTTTATGGGGCATTACCAACCTGCCATTCCTCTGAGGCCTTTTTAAATGTCTTTAAAATGGTGGCAGTGTCCAGAGGTTGTACCCATGGAGTCTGTCACATCTAGTTTGGCCCTGACTGTCAAAGATGCTTGCCCGTAGGATGTTCGTATCAGGCATGCCAAATTGCCATAAAAGATTTGTGCCCCTGCAATCCAGTTCCACAAAAGTGGGGTGCAGATAGGTTTTGCTTTCTTTGGTGTATTTAATAATCAAATGTTAGCCAGCACCAGAAACCAAAGTTGTAGTACCCCTGATCATGAAGCATCTGCTGCTACTGCCTTGCTCCCTACGCCTCCTGCCCCAATTTACACAAGTGAGATTGGTGTTGAGCATGTAGGAGGGCCATTTCTGATAAGAGTCAGTATGACATAATGGTTAGAGAGTCGGACTAGGATTTGGGAGACCCAGGTTTGAATCCCCACTCTGCCAGGGAAGCTTGCTGGGTGACCTTGGGCCAGTCACAGCCTCAACTCAGAAGGCTGTTGTGAGGATAAAATGGAGAATGTTGAAAGCTACTTTAAAGAAGAAGAGATTGGATTTCTACCCTACCCTTCACTCGGCGTCTCAGAGCGGCTTACAAACTCCTTTTCCTTCCCCAACAGACACCCTTCGAGGTAGGTGGGGCTGAGAGAGCTCTGGCAGAAATTGCTCTTGAGACAGCAGCTCTGAAAGAATTTACAACTGACCCAAGGTCACACCAGCAGCTGCATGTGGAGAAGTGGGGAATCAAACCCGGTTCTCCCAGATTGGAGTCCACGCATTTAACCACTACACTAGACTGGCCCCCATTGAGATATAAATGAAGTAAATAAATACATTTATATGCTGGCACCCACCTAATGGAAGAGAAATCTGCGTCAGGAACATGTATTTCCTTCCTTACTCAAGCAGATGGAAAATGTTCTTTTCCCTTCCTTACAATCATTCCTAACTACAAGATAATCAGTATGTTTTCTTCCTAGTGTCCTACTTAAAATTTGAATCAGTGTATATACTGTCTGAATATTGTCTTCAGTGTTTTGAGCTATCCTTTTTAACACTATAGTTGTGCTTCTTTAGTCCCTTTGCCGGGGCGTCGGGATTTGGTAGAAGAGCAGCTAATACCTTATTATAAGAAGCTGAACATTGTGTTTTCCCCTCCCCCTCCTTTCTTCCTCAGCTTCAATTTGGAGCCAGGTTATGATTTTTTGCACATCTATGATGGACCGGATTCACTCAGCCCCCTAATAGGGAGTTTCTATGACACCCAGTTGCCAGAGAGAATCGAAAGCAGCAGCAGCAGCCTCTTCCTGGCCTTCCGGAGCGATGCCTCTGTCAGCAACACAGGATTCGTAATCCATTACACAGGTGTGTGTTACATTCCAGGAGATATCGTTGTTGTGTTTGTACTAGAGCCATCTATCCAATTTCGCTCCCGTCTGTCCTTTGGCCACAGGTCTCTAGTCACGTTTAATGCAGCGGGACAGCAAACATCTATTTTACACTATCTGAGTGATGGTGAAGGCTTCCTACTAACAGCAAGTTTATCAGGAAAGAAGGGATAGAGAGAGTAGTGAGAGTGAGATGGAAAAGGTGGGGGGGAGAGGGAGGAAGGGTATTCCTTAGGGCTGAGGGTGAGCTTTCAACCTTCAGAGCACTTGAGAACATCAGAGGGTTAACCAGGTGCAGCCCTTCTGTCTTGCAGTAGGATTAAAGATCTCTTCATTGTGGCCAGCTCTCTCCAAAGGGAAGGAGGCAGGGTGCCTGTCGCTCGTCTCTGCAGGAAGCTCAGATGTCAGGTTTTGAAAAGGGAATGGATTGCTCTCTGCCTTATCTTCCCCTCTCAACACTAGTTCATTCAAAGGGGGAAGTTAACAAGGATCTCTGCTCCTGAGTCATGCCTTTCTTTGATGCAGTTAGTTACAGCTGAGAGCTAGTGGAATAGAAGGGCTAAAGGAGGGAGCTCTGAGATCCCGCCCTGTTCAAATCCTGCCTCCAACAAATCTATTATGTAGGCCAGCATCATTGCTGGAATGTTGCAGATGCAAGGGAGAGGGAGGGCAGTGAGATTGAGAGGATGTCTTGCCTAACACCACTTGCTGCGTTCACTTCTGAAAATTTAAGAAGAACCTATCTGGATCAGGCCAGGGATCATTCTAGTCCTATATCAGGGGTCGTTTTGAGCAAGAACATGCAGGGACAGCGTTCCGGGAGTAACAAGCCTGCCCCCCCCGACTTCCTGCTAAGGCCCCCTGACTTCCTTGGCAACGCAGGCCCCCTGACTCTCTAGGCTTGCCCGTAGGACTCTCTGCTGCCAGCCAGCAGCCCCACAGGCCTCTCCTTGCCTTCCCCCACAGCCTCATCATCTGACTCGGCAGTGCAGAGCAGCAGAGAGGGGCTTGAATTGGGGTCGGGCTGGAAGCCCTGCTGGCTGCCCTGGCTGGGATGTGGAGAAGGCATAGCCTGGCACTGTGTCTTGCCTGCTTGTCTAGAGGAGGAGGAGGAGGAGCTGGGAGAAGGTTCTCCCCAGGCCTGTAGCCAGGATTTATTTTGGGGGGGGGATTTAAATTTTTCGGGGGGCATAATTTTTAAAAGAACCCTTACTTACTTCTGAGTAGAACCACAAGTGGGGTAGTGTGAGGTGAAGGGAGGGAGCTGGGACTGAATGGCAAAATGTGAAACCTTTTTTCTCTAAGCTGCTGAAATATGAGGAAAGACTAGAGGAGGAAGAAGTGGTAGTCCAATCCACTGAGCTGCAGCCCACTGCCGCCACTTCTGCTGCTGTTTTGGGCATGGAGCACCGCGGGGCTGAGGGACGGTTGGTGCTGCTGCGGCAGGGCGCTTTGCAGGGCAGGCGGGCAGTGCTTGTCTCTGCCAGAGGCCTCTGGGCGAGCCTGGCCTCTCCCCCCTGCCAGCCACACTCTCTTGAGCCATGGGAAGGTGGCGGGGTGGCCTTGGCTCCACGCTGCTGTAAAGCAGGAGCCTCCAGGCATGGTCGGGGCATCCGGGGAAGCGGGGCGAGAAAAGCCTCTCACCCTTGGGCCAGCAGGCAGTTTGAATTGCAGTACTGCCCCTGCTTTGCTCCATGTGCAACAGCTTGAAGCCAAATCGGTGTGAGGAACGAAAAAGAATAAGAAAAACAAAAAAAAGGTTGGCAAGTGCCCCGACACTGGGGTTCTCTTTGGTGACAGGTGAGGGCAGAGGAGGCAGGTGCTGCAACCACCAGGAGAGGGGAGAGGGGTTCAGCAAAACCCGTGCGCGGTGCCGGGGGGGGGGGGACAACACAAAGCAGCTGAAGGAGCATTGTTGGAGAAAGGCGGTGCGTGCACCCAATGCGTGGGGGGGAGGGGGAAGACGGGCATGCGCCTGCTTTGCTCCATGCAGAAACTCTGCAGCCGAAAAGGACGAGTCGGGCGCAGCCTTCCCTGCAGCACTCTTGTTATGTCCGCTGACCGCCACCAGGGGGCAGCGAATACCCCCGAGCTTGACTCTGTAGGAACAATGGGGACGAGGCTCCTAGTCTCTCCACTTGGGAACCAATAGGACCGTGGCGGGAGATTTAAACCCACCAATGGGACCTAGGGGAGTGTCCCCAGGTGTGTATATAGTTGGCCAGCCGGCCAGTAGTAGTTTAGTCTTTGTTGTGTACTAGTAAACCATGCTGATCACTACATCCGTCTCAGTGGTTTATACATGCGTCTAACCCACTACACTTCAACTCTTCAGCCAAGGAAGCAGCGTGCACAACGGCACCTTCGGGCAGCCGTGTCTCAGATCCTGCCAGCACTGCACTGCCCAATCCCTCACCTGCATGCAGTCAAGCCAGTATAAAATAAAGTGTTGCATGGGGGGTGGGGGATGTTTAATAATCCCAATAACCCCAGTGTCTCCATTGGGCGGGTAGGGTTGCCAGGCTCCCTTTATATATATAAATGACTTGTCTTTATGGTAGATGGCAAACATGGGCAGCGTTGGGTACATGGCTGCTGGTGTGGTGTCTGTTTGGGATTGTACCTTGTCTGGTCTTAATGTGTGTGAAGGTGCAATAGAACGCATGCTCCTCAAGACTGCTATAAACATTACCCTTTAAATTAATATCTCTCCTAGCCTTCAAGCATTTGTTTCTGTCAGTAAAATGTGTGTGTGTGGGGGGGGACAGCAGCCACCATGCAACTTGCATAACTCATGCAGGCCCAGCTGTTTGCTACTGCTCAGCAGCCGCTGCCCCATGAAGTGTTGTGTAGTGGTTAGTGTTCCAGACAAGGATTTGGGAGACCCAGGTTTGAATTTGAGTTGGGAAATACCTGGAGATTTTTGGGGTGGAGCCTGAGCGGTGGGTGTTGCCTTCTGACACATTTCCGGTGATGTCAGGGGGTGTGGCATATGCTAATAAGTTATGCTAATAAGTTATGCTAGTGAGCTTCGGCACCTCTTTTTCTACAAAATGACCCCTGCCTATAATGAACAACCTGCTGCTTCTGAGAGTTTACCAGCAGACATCAATAGGCCTCCCTGGCTCCCCCCCCGCCCCTCCCATGCACAACTAGTATTCAGAAGTACGCTGCCTCTGAACTCAGAGGTTTAATTGAGCCAGCCAGTCAAATGCTGTAGCCTACATCAATCTGTTTAACACCCCTTTAAAGCCATCTTGGACTGCAGCTATCACCAGGTCTTGTGACAGAAAATGCCATAAATTAGTGGCAAGTTTTCTGAAGAGGCGGTTTCTTTTGTCCAGGTCTCTGCTCTGAGAAGCTTATTGTGCATTATTCCCGGATCAGTATAGGTTGGATCCAGATGAAATTTTCAAGCAACAGGACAGAGCTTTCCTGCCTCAGCCTCTCCCACGGCTGCCTACTGATTTCCACAAAATCATCTCCTGGTGTTACAGGAGACCCTGAGGAATGACATGGGGGGGTGGGGTCTGCAGCAGGGAGAAGAAGCTGGTAGAAACTGTCAGTTTAGTCTGTAGGCATAATCTGTATGACAAACTGTGAAGTCAACCCATCTAAGGTAATAATAACCGTTAAAGAGAGGTAAATCAAGAACTCCTAATCCTGCCACGCATGGCTGGCTCTACCTAACCCCATGCACCTGAAAACAGTTCAAGGTTTGCGTGAGTTCAGGGACTGTTGTCTTAGGTTGACTCCATCAAGAAATCGTAGTTTTGTAATCCAAGGTATTAAAATGCAGTACGGTAACCAGGGGCATAGCCAGAAAATTTTGGTTGGTGTGGCATGGGGAAATTTGGGGGAGTGCCTGCTGCTGCTCTTGCAGCAGCAGAAGCAACAGCTCTAGCTCCACTGCGACCTCTAGTCCTCCTTTTGATTGGAGAGACTCAATTCCAGTCTGTTTTTCTGTGTAAGCCGGGGGTGGGGGAATCTCTGACTCTCTCTCTTTTGCATTTTATATTATTTTATTTTGCATTTTTAAAAACCTATTTATTTTTCAGCCTGGAAAAAAGAAAATGAGACTGAAGCTTCCCTGACTGTGCCTGGGGTCATTTTGGAAATCCCTCGCACATCTTACATTTCTTTTCTTTTTTTAATGATTTTTTAAAAAAAAATAATAATTGCCCATGGGGATGGCAGTCATCAGGGGGACATTGCCCCCAAATCCCCCCCCCAGGTATCTACGGGCCTGATGGTAACCATATTATTGGGGGGGGGGGTTCTTAGACCCCCATTTCCAAATTCAGCAATAAAGTAATTAGACAAAAAAAGGGAAAAGATCAATTATTCACTTCCAGGCAATTAAAAATAGATGATCCCTTGAAGATTTAAGAAGACAGCTTACAGATTTGTCCCCATGTTTCTCTTTTGCCAGCTGTGCTGCATTTAACAAAGGGTGTCCTGATTCAGTCAGTGCTGTTGTGTGGGCTGTAGGGTGCATTTGTGTGTGAGCATGTGTGTTTTCTTTCTGTCTCTTCTCCCAAACACAACTATGGAGTTAATCATGCCTGCGTTGCTCTCGTGGAGCGCTTCTGCTGGGAGCAAAGAATGAGGCTTTCACATTGCTCATTAACTTCCGTACACATGAAAAGGAAGCCGGTGAGTTTCGAGATGCTGCAGAAGTCTGAACTGGAGGAAGCAAGGAACAGCTAAGGGAGCTTGTTTGTTGAGGGTTTGTTGGTTGGGCAGCTCTCATATCAATTCCAAGGTGATCCCCACCCCACTCTGACCCCACCAAGCTCTGCTTTCTGCAGGCCTTGCTATGTGGGGTCAAGACAATAGTCCTTGTACCAGTTAGGGGCTCTTTCTGTTCCCCCAAATAATGTGTCAGCTGTTTCCTGATCACAGGGGTTTTGGAATACTTCTCCAGAAACAAACCAAGAAACATTCAAAAGCAGTTCCTTCCCCACTGCTGAAACA